AGCAGTCAAAAGTAGCACAAAATCAACTTTCATATCAACCAAAGTAACGACCAATACTGATCAATAAACGACTAAAAAACGCAAAGCAACAGGCAATTACCTTTAATCACCTGAAAATGTTCCCATAACAAAAACAGGTGAAGTTATCACAATATTTACTGAAACCGTACTGACACCATGAACAGATACATATGATAAATCCAAAGTCAGTTGAAAAGTCGGTAGGTGACGCCAACCAGCGTAACCCTGGTAATAAGGGTAGCCATCACTGATACGAAGACATAACAAGTAGGAATGTGGGTTCAGTGGTACAGTACTCGTTAAATACGGAACACCTTGCACTAAGACAGTTATTTGCAAAATGTGATTCATTTCCTTTTCTGCTTCTGTCTTGATTTGCTCTCGATATGCCTGCCTTGTCACTTGCGTTTCTCTTGGCAGAATCTTTACCCACTGCTGTTAATTCTTTACGATTTCTAACGCCCTCCCAACATATACTACTTATATCCATTCTCATCAGCAACACCCACTACACTACTACTACTATTATTAATTATTAATTATACAATTTCTCCGTTGAAGGAAACCTCTTTGATGAACTGTGATCTTCTTTGTTACTATTCTTATTTATGAATAAAACGACTGTAGAATTCAGTTCATGTTAAAAACTTTAAGTCTCATTTGTTTTTTTCGAAGTGTAACGTATAAACATCATTTTAGCAATTATTTATTCAAAGTAGCAACGATTATATAAGTTGAGGTAAACAATTAAAATCATTTTATGTAGTTCTTTTTATAAATTGAATCGCAAAATACCTCCATAGGTGTGAGATCAGTATCCATTATTCATGAAATCAGCTGGAAAATTATGGTAAACTAGATGTGAACGATGCAGAATGAAAGAAGGTGAATGGCTGGATGAATGTAGTGTGATTTCATTTAAAAGTAGTCGAGTGAAGGATACTACCACTAAACAACTTAGGTAATCATAAAGTACTTAGGATAATGTGTAGTATATCGTTAGCTAGATCAGAGCGATCTGAACACAAGATAGATGTTTCAGTCGATAAGCCAATTCATTAGTGATATACACGAATAAATTCAGCTGACACAGTCGAATTAGTTCAGATCACCTGAATGTGGCTAATTAGTTGACTTCTACGGGACTGGTATACCTAAAATATGACTATCAATTTACGAATGTCACAGATTACACCTTGTTATCTTGAATGAGTGGGTTCCAGTGGAAACCTTGTTGACTGCACAGTTAAGGGGTAATGGAAAGAGAAAATGTGAATGTAAATCATTCGAAGAGAAGAGACTATATATGAAATGAAAAGTAATGGTAATGTGTTGAAAATCGTTTCCTTATTTGAACAGATGTGGAAAATAATCTTTTTAGACAGCTCTATTGATTGATGAACCTGATTTTGTTTGTCTTTGGAAGTCAGAAGATGATTTTTTCCCTAATCTCCATCTCATCTTCATTTTAGTTGATTTATTAGATCGATCACTTAATGTGACAGTATTATCTACTGGATTACGTTTCGGAAGTAATTTATTGCCCATAGTCATATTCAAGATAACTACACAACTTTGAGACATCCCTTGTATAGTCCTAATTTCCATATTTCCAGAGTAGGTGCTGAGTCATTCCTGTTGCTGCATTCATTCAGTGTTGATTCGATAAACAAACGTTCAATTACTTGTTAGTAAAACAGAAGGTCTAAGACAAGAAACCATATACATTTAGGACACCTAACTCATAAACAGTTACCCTGCCAAATTAGTTCATAAGTTCCTTAGGAATCAAGTTGCTTTTCATTATGGACTGACACCAGTTGGAAGAACATCGGAGCACTGAAAAACTGTTTTGTCCTGGCATGGAATTCATCAGCAGTGTGAACTCACGACCTCACGGGGGATTTCATATTTCATCTTCAGGAATATCCTACCGGTTAGGTGAACCTTCTGGACGTGAAGACAAATACTCAGCCATGATATTGGGTGATGGTCGCGCTATGTTGTGAACTGACAGAAGTAGGAAATGTGGACCGTTGGATTCTGACCCAGTGGCTCATTAGTGAAGTACTGGTCTTGGAACCTGAAGGCGCTGAGTTCAATCTCTAGCGGGGCCAGGGGCGTACACGGCTGAGGAGTTCCATACTATGAGGAAATAGCTATAGATTGCTCCCAGGTTTCCAATACTCCTCCAGCTGATGTCAGTCCATGGTGAACACCAATCTGAAGTCGATCAATAAGTCCCCACAAACCCTTAAATCCTTAGGAATCATAAAGAGAAATATGATAATTATCACTGGTGTTAATAGTACTAATAATACTGTTAATAATAGTAATGGCAATACTGTGAAGAGAGAATTCAAAACCTCTGCAGTATTACCATACAAAGAAGGCACCTCAGAAACACTAAGTAGGATTCTCAATAAGGCTGATTGGGATTAGACTGTCATTCAAACGTACAAATTCACTTTGAAACAAGTTTTGTAGGTTAAAAGGTCATGTTGATCTAATTAAGCAGAATAACTTAGTTTACCGAAACCCTTGCAATGATTGCGAGGTCGAATAAGTACATAAGTCAGAGTAGTTGACCAGAGTCAATGAGGCTATCTAAGCACAAAACTTAGTTAGATCAAAATTGATAGATCCTAGTAAGGTAAAGAATTTAGAAAACACTTCAACCATAGCCATACCTCCAATTACACACAACTACATAATAGGATTAGATAGGGTGAAAATCTTTAAAACTAACATATTAGGGTGGAGAGAGAGAGAGGATCTTAGTTTATCAGATCAACTTCTAATACATTCAGTAACAGGAATGATTCTCCACCTGTCCCAGATATATGGAAAATCCTACTACTCATTTCACAAAGGGGGCAAGGAAATTAGGACTATATAAAGGATGTCTCAAAGTTGTGTAGTCATCTGTCCAAAACGTATTTCAGTAAGTGGTAATGTTCCACTATGTAATAAATCTAATATATCGATAAGAATGGAATTACAAGTTTCGATGTGATCTTCTAGAAGCAAGACAAATGGCGTATGAAATCGAATCGACCTATCCTTCCTCAATTCTACCGCAGACCAAAACTACACAAACCCGATATCCCTCTGCGACCATTAATCTCACTTCCGGGAACATCAACATACAACATATCAAGAAAACTTTTAAGAAAACTGAAACACCTCGTTCAATCATGCAGACATTCCATCAAGTCCCCAACAGAATTCTTAGAAAAGATCAAAAATATTAACATAGAAAACGATGAATTAATGATATCCTTCGATATCACAGCACCATACACATCCATCGAACCTCAATTGGCCAAGGAAACGATATCCCTACTGATCAATCAAGACAAAAACCTTTCAGAATGCACAAAACTCAAATGTTTAAGTCTCATGGAACTCATCGACCTTTGTATGACAACATACTTCCAATTCAGTGATAAGATATACAAACAGATGAAAGGAACTCCAATGGGATCACCGATATCCAGATTCATTGCAGAAGCAGTGATGCAGAGACTGGAAGCCATCATCCTACCTGTTATCAAACCCAAAATTTGGAGTCGTTATGTAGACGACACTTTTGTCACCATTAGAAAAGATGATATAGAAAACACCAACAGTTTGATCAACAACCTTTTCAATGACATCAAATTCACAATGGAGAAAGAGTCAAACAACCAACTACCATTCCTGGATGTTTTAGTCAGTAGGACAAATGCCGGAAAGCTGGAAACCCAAGTGTACAGGAAGCCAACACACACTGACTGGTCAAATCCTCAACTACAATAGCAACAACCCAACAACACACAAGATCACTTGCGTGCAGACTCTATTCAGAAGAGCGAGAACACACTGCAGTACAACAAATTCACAGAGAAACGAACAAAATTACTTGATGTCCATCCCAAAGAAGAACGGCTACCCACGAAACTTCATCAGAAGATGCCTATCCCGTACATCATCAACTACAAAGTCATCCACAGAAATCAACAAACGCATCATCCTCCCATATGTAAAGAATGCATCAGAAATGACGACAAGATTGCTGAGACCACTTGGAATTGGTGTGGCTGGCTCATAAACCAAGAAATCCCCTGCAAACACTATTATGCAGACCGCAGGATGCAACAAGGAAAGAAGACAAACCAAATATCATTTACAAAATCGACTGCAATGACTGTAGTCCAACACTTCATTGGACAAAGTGGTCGCCCTCTTCGCCTTCGTCTGCATGAACACCAATTGGCTATTAAACACCACGACATTACATCACTCATTTCAATGCATATGGATGACAACTATGGACATGAATTCAATTTCGACAATGTATAAATTTTGGATTGAGAGAGGAAACACAAAGAATGTCAGAGAATTCCTAGAAGCTTGACATTCAGGTCGGTTAGTCAGTCACTAGTCAACAGATGTATAGACATAGACCCAATCTATCAACCAACAAGAAAAGTGATAAAATACAGAGAGGTCAGAGGTGAGGCAGAGGGACAGCCAACAGGAAAGTCTATACAATCAATGACACAACAATCGAAGGAAACAACCAACCACAGACCACATCGTCAGAGCAAGGCACTGAATCACTCACTCATGGAGAGATATTGACAGCTCACTACTTCATACTGAAGTTAGTGCTTATGATGTCGTCTAGCAAGATGATGAAAGCTTCACGATTAAACAACCCAACTCAGAGAACACAATACAACCAAGACCATCCACCTGAGCTACAAATATTCTCTATTATTTCAAAGTCTTTGAATCTCGTTTTATCATTGTTAATGCTAAGACTGGAAGTTAACATTTATCGACTTGACTATCTTTTCCATATTCCTATATTAAACAGTGTCTGAATGGCATGTTAATTTTTTTTTCACTGTTTTCAAAATGTTTTCAGAAATATCCACACTTTTAATCTCTTTTCTACCATTTTTTTATATATTTTATTTATAAAATAAAAGGCTTGGATTACAGCCTTAGGGACTGCTTCAAGTGCAGCTACTCTACCGATTACATTTCGTTGTCTTGAACAAAATCTTGGCATTGATAAACGTGTAACACGTTTTGTACTACCTATTGGAGCAACAATCAATATGGATGGTACAGCATTATATGAAGCTGTTGCTTCTATTTTCATTGCACAAATTAATGGAAAATATTTAACAATCATTGAAGTATTCATTGTAAGGTAAGTTTGTCTATAAAATTTATACATTCTGTTGTATTCCTATTTATTTTTTCAGGAAAATAGAATTTTATTCAATGATATAAGGTAAAATTTTGCTGAATTCAGAAAATCGAATTCATTGAGCATTGAATAGATAACTTTTGTTTAAATCAGTATGATTTGTTAGAAGTAATGCAGTTTTACGTGAAAAGCTATTCAGTTTCTGAAAGTATTGTCTCAGTTCAGATTATTTATCAGGTTTGCAAGGAAATAAGCTAAGCTAATATGAAGTTATAAGTTATTTCAAACATATTTCCTTGATAACAGCAATAGGAATGAATATACTACTGATAACTTACATTTAGTAATCTAAGATGTAGAGGTTTTTCATCAGACTTTAGTGATTTTTAATAGTAATAACTTGCAGAAATCAAACATTATTATATTGGCTTTATATAGTGCCATAATGGGGTATCTAAATAGTCAGTAATCATGTATATTTGTGAACAATAAAAATATATGCAGTGCATTCCACCCGATTTTCAACCAATCAACGAGATGATCATGGGGCTTTGATGAGTGATTTCCCCATTGGGACTGAAGCCTAAGAACCCTCTACTCCAAACTCATACAGAAACCAATCTGCCGAAATTAAAAGATCGATTCAATTCAGTGAAAGACAGACAGATACAAGATATATCATCAAATTAACTCCTCAATTTCTCTTCAAAACGTTTTGTATCTTACCCTTTTCTATTAGATCTGTAAGGATATCCTGCTTCTTCTGAAGCGCTTCCAAGTAGGAAATACTTAGAACGCGTTAGTCGTCAGTCATATCTAACAAACTGTACCTAGACAGGGACGAAACATTCTTAGAAGCGATCAGCTATATCAAACGAGTTCTAGTTTTTCACAATATCTCACTACTGAAACTGTCTATACGGTTCAGAGAAGAATGTTCTGGACATTCTACTGATTGAGTTCTAATGCCTGTCGGAAATATTTCTTAATTGAGCAGAGCTTATCTCTTGTATGATAGAAAACACTAAGAGTCAGATACGTAAGCAGTGAGTTTATTTAGGATCAAATGAATACTGAATGCAGCCGGCACAGTGGATATTTGTCTATAATACTAATAGACCGACGGTAATTGAAAGTGCATGGATCATATGATGGGACAGATGAGGTCTTTAAGGCATTAGTGTTGATTCATACCTATCGATCGATTCATTTCGAAGATTCGTGGGGATTTAGTGATTTCTCAAGTTGATATTCACCATGTTCTGATATCAGCTAGAGAAACATTGAAAACCTGGGAACACTGGACAGCTATTTCGTCATCGTAAGCAACTGCTCAGCATTGTTCATCTATGACCCCGCCCACACCATCAGGGGTAAAACGCAGCACCTTCGGATTCCGTGGTTAACATGTCACCATTGAGCCACAGGGTCAGAGTTCAGTGGTCGATATTTTCTACTCCTGACAATTCACGAAATAGTGTGACTATCACTCAATATCATCATCGAGTATCTGTCTTCACTTCCAGTAGGTTTACTTCTATGGTTACGATTTCTCATTGGAAATTCAAGAATCCTCTGTCGAAGCTAGTCACCAATGAGCACTAGATCAATTAAATTTAAGAGTTTGTAAGGATTTATTGATTTCGAGTTGATATGCATCAAGTTACGAAGCTAAGTGATACTGTAGTGCTTTATCTTACCGTATTAGGAGTAAATTAAAAGGAAACTATGCTTCAGTTAGAATTCGCACTTGTCGGCTCTCACCAACATAGTTGAGTGTTATATCTCAAGGTGAATAAATCCTTCATTCATAGAAGTAATGTGAAAGAAAACATAACTATGAACTCCTTCTACGATAAGCCAACACTCGGTTAAACATAAAATTGAAGTTTTCAACTCAGTCAATATATTCCTACTAATAAGTCTAGAAGTACTGAAGCTAATCCTGCCTTGGTAAGCCAGCTGTTATGTGATTGAAATCTGTTTGAACTAAAATTTTAATACATATATATCAGTAAATATGCTGGTTATCTTATCATTTATTTTTATTTGTCCCTTGGGTTCCTAGTGTAACATAAAGCTTCAGTAACACGTCTCCATTCCACTCTCTTCTCTTCAGTCTTCTCTTTTAACCTCGCTCCACCGCTACCCACAAGCTCTCGTTTCTTCCTCATACCATATCCTCCATTTCACCCTCACCTCTGACGTCCAACTCGTTGTTGCCCATTTGGCATACACTCAAGCGCCTCGCTTGACGCGTGATGCTCTCAATCGATCTTCTCAGTGCGTGTTCAATCCAATCCATCTCCACTTTCTTTCATGCATATTGGTTGGGTGATAGGTAGTTGGTTGATTGGTTCGCTGTGGGGTCAGCCAAAATTCCTTGTTGTTTATTCTTATTATTCTCTCCATCTGATCTGATCTCATCTCATCTTCAGTGTCAGTATAGGAGTAAGTGTAGGTGGCAGCTGTCAATGTGATGTATTTCTGTAGTTTGTTGGAAATGCTTTTTGTAATGCGTCAAGTCTATTAACCATCACACAGAAGCACTGACTGACTTGACTGAATTAGTGTTGAAAATCTGGATCTTGTTCGTCATGCTGAGTGGTGTGCAATGCAGTGCAATGCAGTCGATCTCCACCGTGATTATTTTAGATTAATGAAGGTCCATGTTGCTGGCTTTTCCGATCCTGGCCAGCTTTGACATCCTCATCTGTGCTGCTAGTTATCTTAAGATCAGTTATTAATTGATAGAATAGAATTTCACTATAGTGATAATTGGACGCATTGAACACTTTGTTTATCTAAAGTATCACATTACTTGTAATATGGTTCAAAGAAACTAAATGTAAACTAAACTATATATCGATAAAAACAAAGATTTTCATAAAATGGTAATAAAGTGGGATTTTATCTCAGTGAGTAATAAAAATTGGTGATTTTATTGTTTTCAATTCGGTACACATTACAAATTAACATCTTTTGGAAAACTACTGAAAACCTTAGAACATTCAACAAGTGTATTATTTTAGTATGGGACTCCTCCTCATGACTATGTTGGGAATGGAAATTAGGACGTTCACTTTCTATGGTGAATGCATTAATCATTCAGTTACTAAGTTTCATTCACTTCAGTGATACACAGGTTCTGACTTTTTTTAGTTTACAACACAGATTGACTTTCATTCAGTCGCATCACTGAGCATATACCTTTATGTTCAACTTCTCATTAGAACTTTGGAAAATCTCACAACTAAGATAGTCATAGATGAGGTATGGGAGTTTTTTATTGATTGTAAGCTGATATTCACCAAGGACTGATATATCTTATTTGATGCAGCATTGATGAATAAAGTGAAAATGAAAGACATAGTCACCTTTGAAATATTGATTATCACTCTAATCTAATCTAACAACGCGTTGGATACAAGTTTTAACTAAGTCATTAAATGTCGTCTTGTGGACCGCAGATAGATATTTCTTCATGTTGTATCACACTAACTGATATCCGCATCGTCATCTGAATGTTTACCTACTACAATCTGAAAGAATAGCAGTTCTACACATCTTCAGTAGGCTATATAAAATGGTCAGTAAAGTTCAACATCTTTTTTTAATCCTAAATCACTACAAATTATCGTCATTGCTTCATTAAATGTGTTAAATTTCGCCGAAGAAGTTCAAAGAATCATCTCAGAAATCGCTTCACACTGGATATAGAGAATCTTGAAGTAAGAAGTACATTCCAATGGAGTAAACAACAAATCCATTTAAAACGAAGGTTTATGAGACATAGAATACTAAAGAATATTCGCAGAGCAGGGGGATAATTTTGATAGGGTTTAGTTCTCTGAGCTGTATTGTTCAGTCGTGGAGCTTTCGTCGTCATGAACACTAACTCAACTCTTTGACATACTTTTCAGAAGACATCAAACATATTCATATTGACAACGGCAAACTGATGGTGTCTTTCAGTGTTACAGCTCTATACACCTCAATGTGAACCAAAACTGGTCAAGGATACAACGACTCTTCTCTTCAACAATAAAACAAACCTCTCGGAACAAACATAACTATAATGTTCAGGTTTGATGGAATCTGTCGATCTATGCCTTACAATAGAGTTTCAATTCATTGGCAAACTCTATGAACAGACAAAAGGGGACACTAATGGAATCACCTATATCAAGACTAATTACACGACCAGTACTAGAGAGATTGAAAATTGTTGTATTGTCGTTGATCAAACCAGCACTTTGGATCCAATAAGTAGATGACCCGTTCATCATCATTAAAAAACTAATCAACAACATCTTCGATGACAAGAAGTTCAAATTAAAACTGGAATCAAATAACAAACTGGCATTTCTAGATATTCTGATCCCGAAAATGAATTTGAGGAGATTGGAAACTGAAGTATACAGAAAACCAATTCATACAGATCAAATCCTCAACTACTATAGCAACAACTCAATAGCACACAAAAGGGTTGTTCTAAAGATCTAAAGAAAAGAAGAGAACTATTTGATTATTATTTTGTAGAAGAACGCCTATCTACAAAACCTCACCGAAAGATGTTTACTTTGTCCGTCGTCAACCAAGAGGTCAGTCTTGGAAACTAACAAACGAATTGTTCTATCCTACATGAAGAACATCTCCGACATTTCAACTAGATTGTTGAAACCTCTTGAAATGGCTGTATCCCACATTTTCACATATCGTTTCAGTCTCTGACAAATAAAGACGAACCAAACAGTATCTTCAAAATGAACTTCAGAGGCTTCAAAAAAAAATGCTGTGTCGGACAGAGTCTGGACTGCGGAAAAGAACCTAGAAGACTTGGATTTCGCCGATGACTTGTGCCTAATGTCACATAAACTTGAAGATCTGTAGGCATAAACTAACAAGTTGATAGAAGAGGCAGCTAAGACGGGACTTCAGGTGAATATAGAGAAGACAGAAGTGATGAAGATACCGCACCACCACCATCAACAACAACA